GGGGGGGGGGGGGGGGGGAGGGGGGGGGGGGAGGAGGGGGGGGAGGGAGGGAGGGAGAGAGAGAGGGAGAGAGAGAGAGTCCTTCAGACCCAGGCCCACCCCCCGGAGGGTCATGGAGCTGTTCTTCGCATGCACGTGTACTGACATAGCCACTCTCCAACTGGGGACACTGCAAATGAGTAGCTCTGCAGACAGTGATGTGCATTTTCTAAACATTTCCTGAGGAGAAACTCCTAGAAACAGGCCTGTGGCATTAACAATCCCCCTTAAGTGCAAAGAAATCCAGAGCTTCCCAGAGCTGCACGGAGGCTCCTTTCTCTCTGCCCCCAGCCAGCTCCGGGGATCAGAGCTGAAGGCGGCCGGAACCATGCACGCATCCAGCAGTTTGGCCAGACCAGGGAGGCAGGTACAGCCTCCCCCCACTCCACGTGTGACCAGGGCTCTCCACGCTCTCTGCCGCGTCTCAGGGCCCGTGCAGGAGCGCCAGTCCCGGGGTGCATCCCAGTGCTCACACGCTGGCTGGAGGGGGTCAACGACTGGCCCAACCAGGTTGGGGGTTTGCCCGCCACGGGGCGGAGAGTTACTATAAGAGAAAGCAGCCCCATCTGGGTCACGAAGTCAGGACCAACACAGAAACGTGTCCCCAAGAGGAGACAGGCTGACCCCCAACCTGTCTTCAAGCCTCAGTAAACAGTTTACAGTTAGCTCATTCTTGCCATTTAAGGCAAGTGTTAGTTTAATATCTATAAAAGGAATTTTATCTCAATTTCCAAACCCATATTTCGAGTTCTAATCCAGATGCTTTTCAGCTGTCTTTGTTTCTCTGTTCCAATATATCGAAGGTATAACGTGTTGTCCTGCATTCGTGTATTTGTTACTTTCAAGTCTGGAGAAGGTCTACTTTAAAAACGAAATAGGTCTATTAAATATGGACTGGAAATTAAAAGCCTTTTTTTTTTTTTTTTTCTGCTGTACGCGGGCCTCTCACTGCTGTGGCCTCTCCCATTGCGGAGCACAGGCTCCGGACGCACCGACTCAGCGGCCATGGCTCACAGGCCCAGCTGCTCCGCGGCATGTGGGATCTTCCCGGACCGGGACACGAACCCATGTCCCCTGCATCGGCAGGCGGACTCTCAACTACTGCGCCACCAGGGGAGCCCCTAAAAGCCTTCTTATAAAGTGGAGGAGAGTCCTTGAGCAGAGGGAAGAGTTGCACCAGAAACCCCGATTAAGGTTAGTTCCCCCAAAAGGCTAAGTTCCACTCCGGAGTGGTTACAGAAAAAGGAAAGCCACAGGGTAGCCTGTAACACCCAAAGGAAGAGTTTGCTTCGATTATAAAACACAAAAGAGGGTTGAACTGTGGCCCCCAGAAGATGTGCCCACGTCCTAAACCCAGGAACCTGGGACTGTGACCTTATTTAGAAAAAGGATCTTGGCAGAAAAAAGTAATTAAGGATCTCAAGATGAGATCATTCTGGATTTACGGTGGCCCTAAATCCAATGACAATTGCGCTCATAAGAGACAAAGAGAAGACCCAGACACGGACCCAGAGGGAAGAAGGCCACGTGAATACAGACAGCAGAGGCTACAAAGATGCGCCTACGAGCCAGGAAACGCGGAGGATCACCTGGAGCCCCAGACGCCGGAAGAGGCAGCAAGGATCCTCCCTTAGAGCCCCTGCAGTGAGCACAGCATACCAACACCTTGATTTTGGACTTCCAGCCTCCAGAATTGTAAGAGAATACATTTCTGTTGCTTTAAGCCACCCAGTATGTAGTAATAAGTTACAGCAGCCCCAGGAAACAAACCCAGGAGGTATGGCTCTGAGATCTAATTTCTGGGAAAATGCTGCAAAGAAATGCCTTTAAATGATTATCCCAGTAATGATTCCCTTTGGGAATCTGGAAAATCCTATACACATGGATTTTGTTATTGACTAAAAGATGGAGTTGTGTGACTCAGTGACTGACCTCTTTCTTCAGGAGCTGCCCGAGTTACAAATGAGGAGCTATTGAATTGAAAGTCCCAGGATTTAGAGAAAAAAGGCATGTTCGGTAAAATCCTTTTCCTACAATGAAAGGAGAGAAGACCTTGAGGGCTCAAAGGACAGAAAGTTTTGATTTGGGTAAAAACAGCTGGGCCTGGGGTCCCAGGAGCGGGAGGAATCTGCCTTTGAGATGCTTCTCACCTACTCATCACCTAGAGATCACTTGAAAACGTAAAGCCTCCTTCCGGGAAGGAAGGGCAGGGAGTATTTTTCTCTGTGCAAAAAGGAATGTGTTTTTGTTTCCATGAAAGAGGAGATGGTGACAGCACACAAAATCCACACGTCGTCCACGGCCACGATGAGTGATGGCGGTGGGCTCCCAGCAACGTCACAGCCAACCCTGTGGTCCATCAAGGCACCAGGGTCATCGAGGGGTATCAGACCTCATGCTGGAAAAACCCTTCCCAGGAGTCTGAACTTGCACCGGGACTGGCTGGTGTATCTACAAAGACCAACGATTCCCTCGAATCCCTCCTTCAAGGGAATGAGAAACAGAATGCAAAGTAGTTGAACGTGAGCTCCCAAAGGCTCAAGTCCACTAACATCTCTTTATAAAATTCAAGTTTGATTGAACTCAAGTGATCTAAAAATAACACTACTTCCCCCATGAAAACATGCAGCCTTCAAATGATAGTCCAAATCATCCATAAAGTAAATGCAAAGAAATAGATGAGCCCAAACCACTCTCGAGCTTAGTTTCTGAGTAAGGATTCAAAGTAAAAGTAATTAAAAGCGATATGATTCTTGGGGGTTACTAATGGCCCCACTTTCTGTGGTTAGTAGGGACAATATTTCTGAGCCTTTTGGTTGAAAGACCACTGACATCATGCAAACCCAGCAGCCTCTTCTAAGAATACGAAAGGATTCCTCCGTGGTTTGTTCACAGGCAGGGCCTCTTTTCATCCAAGCAAAATCAGTTCTCATCAAAAGGGTTCCTGCTCCCATGGGTCCGGGATAATGATGCTGTATTGGCAGCACTCACTCACCATATTATACATTTTCATAAAACAATTGATTCCACTACATTTGCATTTAAAAGTTCAACACACCCTTGAAGACCCATGTGGAGAGTCTATTTCCTGGAACTCTGATTTTTTGAGTTCAATGCTTTCTCCAGA